CGAGGAAATCCTCGACAGGGGGGTCGTACTTGTCAGGGCTGGGTCATGGGGGTCGTACTCGTGGGGGTCAGTAACATCAGTGGCATCGTGGTGCAGATAGGAGTAAGAGGGTGTAGCGCAGCAGAAAAGAAATATGTGAAAAAAATGATATAAAATATTCTTTGCAGGTTCAGTCGCTCCATTCCTCTACCTTTATGAGAAGGGCGTATTTGAAAGCAGTACAAAGAATGAAAGTGCCCGCAAGGAAGAGGCCACATGTGCACACGCGCTGCAAAGGCACCTCCTCTATCTATCGCCCGCTCCTTCTCCCTTAATACCTCGCTGAGAATGACACTGTTGTTAGGGACCTGTCGCAAAAACGACAACCGTGAAGGAAAAGCCCTGGGCAAATGAAGTTGTTCTCAGGTATAGGAGTTACGAAATGTGTTTACTACAATGCAGCTTCTGTCAACTGGTCATGATCATATAACACCTTCAATCGATTCTGCAACTTCGAGTGAAGGTCGGATGCATGGCCTATACCCAGACAAAATCGGATGATGACGATTGCCCCTTTTTATTGCTTATGTTGGAAGAATGTATTCTAGACACATTTCGAGCGTTGCCAACGAATTTGCAATGGTGAAGAAGGGAGCGGCTTTTTGAGCGGCCGAGAATCATCCTCGATAGATCCTCGACGCAAATATCTCCTCAACTAGAAATGTAGAAGGAAGCTAAACATACTGTTAGAAAGCGCAAACCTTCCGCTTTCCAAAACTGTCTTCGTTTTTCCAAGCCTTGCGAAATTAGAGAGATATTGCCTTTTAAGTGGCAAAAACTCGCATGAAAATTTCAGCATCCTCGACGCTCCCTCGACGGATTTTGAGAGACTATATCTCTTCGAATGGAAGGCTTTCATAGCAATTCCAATACTGCCTGATAGTAGCAAATCTAGCTCTATCTAACCCTACCGCGTGCTGTTCAAAAGGTTGGGAAATGGAGGAATGGAACCTTTTCATCGAGGGTGTAGATTTCGACGGTTTTTTCGGGATTTCAGCAAATCTGACCCAGTGACAAATCGCGCCGCAGCTGCCGTTGAATCGGCCGTTGATCGATACACTCGGCTGTTGTGATTTTGCGTATGCTCTGTTTTAGGGAGGTCGTGCCAAGACCTCGATTTCAGGGGACCGTACTTTTACGACCACGTCCGACACGATTTTCACCCCGCTCTCAAGGGACTGCCTCTTGATCGGCCTCCAACAATGCCATACTCTCGAAGTAGAATTGGCAGATAACGGCGACGCGGGGTGACCTTTAACCACCACACTGTCTCTGCCCTGCTCCAAAAATAGTACCATTTCTCTATAGGAGCAAGAAAAAACTTGTAAACAAAGCATCAGTAAAATTATTACAGTACCGACAAAAAGTTACTGCTCAACGCTTCATTGCATCAATAGAAGTCACCAGCCAGCTCTACTGTCTTACCAAGCGGTCAATCGACGTGTTGAATTTGGCCGGCAATCCAGAAAAACCCACAGCAAAGACTTCCTGCAAACATCGGCGCTTTATAAGGAGTCTTGATTGGATTCGTGTTAGCTGTGAAACATACTATGAGTACGGTCTCACTTAATAACAAGAGGTGGAGCATTATCCGCGAATTTGACGTGTAACACTCCGTGGACATAGTCTCTCAAAAATTCCTTCATCAGTGCCCGTACCCCTTGACGGATCTGAAAATAAAGGTATTGTAGCATACCTCTGGCAGAAGTGTCGGAGAAGCTATTCCGTGGATGGAATATAGTACCCACCAAAACGCAGACGAGCCATTGTCGGTCAGGGCAGTGCGCATCAGTGGCGCTCTAAGGTGGTCACAAAGTAACTATTGGCGATCAAAACTTCATGACCATGTACTGTGAAAAAGCGGTTTTTTGGCGGGATTGGGACGTAGCCGGCTACTTTAAAGCAACAGTCCAGGCAGGGTTTCAACTACTTGGTCATTAGGCGGTCAAAACATGCCCCAGCCCAACTAAAGTTTATAGGAAATGTCTTTAAGTTCAAAACCTACCTCTAAAATGCGCTGGAAGGGGTCGAAGTCCTCTTGGAGGGGGCGGATCACCCATACCGAGGCGGATCGCTCCAACATACGCTGTGCAGAGTCCGTGCTTGACTAGCGGTCGTTGCGGGACCGCCGCGCTGTATGAGGTCGATTCCATAAGAACGCAATTGAAGCGCTTCAATTTCGATTGCTGGCAAATAGTTATGTATTTGCAAGCATGCATGCTATTTGCCAGCAGTTGCAATTGGAGCGCATGTACTACGGGCAGGTTCGGACAACTCGTCCAACACACGTCTCCCTAAACGGCAGGGGGAGTCCCTGTCTAAGCCCCTGCCCGACGTTTTTTCTACTTTTTCTTTCTCCATTGACCAACTTCTCACCTGCAACGTCATTATAGGTGGTCCTTACCCGCGAATTCGTTCCTGGATTGTTGCTTTAAATACGCGCGGGTTAGTGGATCTGTGGAGCAAGCAAGTTCAGGTTACTCGGCCAGCTCGCCCCTTTTTATTCCGAAAAGAAAAAAGGGGATAATTGGCTTCTTTTTTTCATTTTCAGTCAGCTCGTCGCCATAATCCACCACCGACCGCTGTGACCTCACAAAGTCGATCTGGAGGTGTTGCTTCAAATCAAAGGCAAGAGCCGGTCGATGCATAGCAATTTTGTGTAATCTCTTTACCCTTACAAATACCTTTTGAACACAAAATTAGGATTTGCTGTTTGCAAGTTATTGTAGTCATGAGATATTTTTTGTGAACGAAATGAATCTTCTGTAAGGCGGAGCCATTTTGCAACACCATCTATGCCCTACATATGCCAAGCACATTAAGCCTTAAAGTTGACACTAGGCATGTACTGTAGATCAAATCTAACCCGTACTCCAATCGCATTTCAGACGTATCTCGGAGTATGTTTGGGCGTGTCTGCGGTTTGACGGCCGCTGCACTTGAAAGAAAGTGCGAGGTAGAAACTGCTTCCAGCTCGAGTGGAGTATGTTGGAAGCAGCATATCCACACCACTTCTACTATGTGCGGTGACGGCCACGTCAAACCCATGTAAAAAAGCACGCCCATGAGACGGTGATATATAGACTATAAATGCTTCTCTAGGGGACTACAGACACTATACCCATGACAACGGATCGAATCTGGTGATGCAAGCCCCCCCCCTCCTCTGATAGACAAGGCTTTAGTAGAGGAGAATTTCATGCGATACTCTCATACGCTGAACATGCCCACCGCGCAGGCCTCCATAGAGCACTAAAAAATTGTACTATGTAGAAGTTTGACCTGTCGACGTCGCTCGATGTCTTCTGCTTTTTCTTCGGCTCCTCCACAAGCTAGCCAGTGTGCAACCAACAGAACAGGGAAGAACTCCGATGCACAAGAAATGATTGAACTCGACAGTATGCCCTTATTGATGTAATACCTTAACAAGCATTAGCCTTAGTGCTTTCTTAGTCTGCTCCAACTCCTTAGCTCAAAGCAAAACGGACCACATTTTCTGTGTACCGTGCAGGTCATCACTTGGCGAACAGTCGTAATTTCGCCGTATCGCTGGACACCAATAACTCTCCAACTTCCTTCCTTTGACACAATTCCTTGAATTTTTCGAAATCCAAGGGAAAGTATAAGAAGAAGATGGCAGAATATAATAAATTATGAGAATGTAGTTTTTCCAGGCTCTGAAGAAGGTGAAAGCACCGAAACGTCGGCCAATAAAGTTATTGTCAATCTTGGTTGGAAGCTTAGCAACTACATTCTCATATTCTGGACTATGCCAAGATTTATACAAAGTCGAACTTGGACACTATAATAAATGCGTTGCGGTGTTTCGAATACCTGATGACTAAGGTAGCCTTTGTAGACGACCACCTTTGATCCACAACTACTGAAAATGTGATGTTGACGAATAACCGACCGATCTGAAAAGATATTATTTAAGCAGTTCTTGCATATGGCAACACATCCTATACCCCTAAAACATTCGAGTTGAGCATGCGCACTGATGTCATGATCACAGTGCCACAAACTGCAAGCCATTCACATATTTGTAGCTTACGTAGTTTGTGATGTTATCCTGGGTGGCCTCATAATCATCTTCTCATTTCGACACTTCGCTCACAATTTCTATCCTTCCAGGACAACGTGCATCACGCAGCATTCCCACATCATAATCACCATGCATACTTGCTCTGCGCGGAACCGCGCGGTTTGCAAGGTATTCCCGCCCACAATGGTGTCACGCAAAAGCGAACACTCTGAGAGTCGTTTTGGATAGCCACAACTCCTTACCCTTTTTCCTGCAAGCAGGTTCTGGATTGAAGGGCGCAGCTGAGAGAACTCCGAATAGCGATCCTACTGCCATACGGCTATACTCCCGTGCCCTGGCATCCCCCTCACCGAACGCAGCGAGTCGCCATTGCCAGTGTGAGCCCATGGGTCCAGCTGAGAAAGGAGAATGAGACCTCTGCGCGGTCTCCTCGCAAGTAACACGAGTCAGCCAAAGTCCATTTCCAGCGACCTTACCCACAGTGTGTCCCTCATACTTGAAAGCAGCCTAGTCCAAGAAGCGAACTGGATACTCTCCAAAGCACGCGAGTTAAGCTTCGGTTGAGCCGTGCCTCCCTGCTGAGGTACCTTCGCGTGCCGCCTTGTTTACTGTCCATTGGTCCTCAGCGACTCATCTGCCACCTTCAATGCCGATTAGGCAAGACTTCGTATAATGTATGCTATACGAAGTTATACGAGCTTCTGCTTTTGCCGTCGCAGAATGGATTTTCCCCAGATGGTCAGGCGTGCTTCCGCTCATGGTCGGCCGGACCATAAGGTTTCCATCAAAACTTCATTCTGCAGCAGTCCTTGCCATACTGATGGCGTGTGCTGGTGCATCGGCTGCGCTCAGGTATCTGCTACAATACCCTGGTAGCAACGTACGGAGGCACTCCCAATTTAGGGTGCAAGGGGCGCTCATCAAAAATGACCGCAGGCCCAGTATGAGGTTGAAGTTCATAGCTCGTTTCGTCTTTGCCGTTGCGATTGGACCACTAGCTCAGTACCCTATCAGTAGCAGAGACTGGGTCAAACACAGCGCTGATCTTCTCTGTTGTCCTCCTTGCTACAGAGTTCATTTGAGGATCGTAAAGCATAATCATTCATTATTGTCACTGACCTATTTTTATTCCTAGTCCCGTTACGGGCTTGCGTTTCCGAAACCACGCTGTTAAGGCTCTTGAAGCATACTTCAACATACTAACGTATTTCGCAATGAAACGGTCTTAGACGGAAGAAATTTGAAATTGAATAGAAATGAGACAGGAATTATGAGACAACCCAATATAATACTTCATGTAAAGGAGTCATTGCCCTCGAAAATTGTTCTTATTTCATAACTTATCGAGATTCGAGTTGATAGCACCATAGTATCTGCGTTGAAGAATATAGATCAAAGACAATGCGGAGAAGGCGGCCATTATGACATCATAGCACGATTCCAGCCACAGCTCAGAGCTGTAGATTGCATCGACGAGTTTGTCGCAATTCTGAAGTGGGACAAAAATTGCTATAAAATGGACTTTTCTGTGAGATAAAGATGAATAGGTGGGCAGAGAGTGGAAGTGGGAGTAGAGAAGGTGCGCTAGCGTTGACGTGATAAAGTTTCGAATGTGCCTCAAAACCCCTCCATTCTCAAACGCGTTCACCGCTGATCTATGGAAGAGGAAGACGGCAAAGCATTTTGAATGGAGTTGACTTGCTTTCCTAAGTATTGCTGCACCGGTCATCGGAGCAGCAAGGGTCTACCAGTCGCTGTTGATTCTTGAACTTTAACCAACTTCATCGACCTTTCTTGTGGTTGACTCTTCCGCTCCCGAAATCATAGGGCGGGAAGGGGGTCGTTTCTCAGAGTTTTGGACGCTTCTCTCTTCTTCTTTGGCTGCTCCATTTAGCACCTTCTTTCACAGTTCATCGATATCAATTTATGGCAAGAGCTGACCCTAATGTTATTTTGAGAGCATTCAATACGTAATTGTTCTCAAGCTTCAATTACATATCTAACTACGAGTGTACCGAATACCCGGAAGATCACCAATTTCCTGGTGATTTTCGTACTGCTGAACTATGTTAGGTGTTTCAGAAAGTTCTG